CTGGGGAGAAGATGAAGATTGGTGAATGAAGATGAAGATCTGGAGATTTTTTCTGGGTTTCTCATGGTTGTTGGAGTTTCCCGGCGAGGCTGACGGTGGATTCTGGGGAAGACTGAAGTTTCAGATGATGAAGGTGGGTGGTTTCTGGGTTGAGGATGGGTTTCCGGTGATGGCGCGGTGGCCGCCGGCCATGCAGGCCGGCCGGTGGCGTTCGCCGGTGAAGGAGGGTGGAGGGACAAGTGGCGTTAGGAGGGAAGAGTGGGTGGCACGCGTGGTGGGGTGGTTGTGCGCGTGCAGGCCACGTGTCTTGGGAGAGAGAGAAGGTGGGGGTTGAGCTGGCCTGCATGCAGAGTGCATGCAAGAGTGATGTGGCGTGTGGGGAACGTGAAGCGTGGGCCATCCTTCTGGCCAACACGTGGCGCTGGGGTTATAAAGGCTGAAATTCGCTGGAAGCTTCTGGAACCTTCTAGAACACGCTGGAAAAAACTGGACAATTGATGGAAACTCTTGGACAATTGGGCTGCGAATTGCTGGAGAGAACTTGGGCTTAGCTGGAAATATTGTGGACAAAACTGATAACTTCTGGACAAAAACCCCAAACTGGGCCTTGCACTGAACTGGGCTGAACGAAAATCATCAATAAAAACCACAAAAAAACTGAATTAAAACAATGATTAACAACCTAATTGATATCTAATCCTCATTAACTAAGCTAAACTCAATTAAACCTAATAAATCTAATTAACTCCTAATTAATAATATTCTAAAATCTATTAATTTTCTATAATATCTATAAAAAACAACTATATTAAATTCTATGCAAAAAAACTATATTATCCACAAATTATTTAAAATCTATAAAAGAAAATAAAAAATGAAAAATCTATTTATTATATTCTAAAAAATCTAAAAATGATTTAAAAATCTATTTAAACTATTAAAACTATTAATATTCTAAAAATGAGAAAATGCTATTAAACTCTATTAATAATTCTAAAAACTATTTAAAAGAAAATGTTCAAAAAATCAATTAATATTCTAAAAATCTATATTATTTATCTAAAATCTATTAAATCCTAAAATGATTAAAATCTATTTAAAGAGAATTAAAACTATTAAAAAATCCTATTAAACCTAAAAATGATTTAAAAATCTATTTAAGCCCTAAAAAATGCCAATAAAATCCAGAAAAAATCACGATAATTCCCGAGGGAACAAAACAAGCACCGAGCGACACAAAAATAATCGGTAAAAATAAACGGGCACCGAAATATCCCAAAAATACGATTCTACCTATTAAAACGGATAAAAAACACCTGAAACACGAGACGGGAGCTGTGATCCCTGATAAAATCAAAACAAATGAACAATGCAATGTATGCGATATGCAGATGCGAATGCGATTATGCGTCGAAACATCGAGCCAGATACGAGACCCGGTTGGTCAAATTTTAGGGTGCAACAAGGAGCACGTCTAAGGTGCTGGGCCTTTCAATGCCGACTATGTTGGCGAACTCGGTGCGAGGTCGCAGTCCTTGCTCGATCAAAAATATCTTCATGTCGTCCGAGGTGGATACCTGGACAGCTTCTTGATTGAACATCTCTATGTAGTCTTGGAGAGATTCGTTTTTTCCCTAGATGATGGCTTACAAGGATGCTTCCGTCTTCTGGTGGCGCCGGGAAGCAATAAAGTTCCTGGAGAATTGCCTCTTCAGCTCCTTCCAAGAGGTGATGGACTCGGGTGCGAGGCTCTTGTACCACACCATAGCACCTTTCCTTAGGATAGTGTGGAAGAGCCTACACTTGATGGCTCCCTGGACGTTCTGGTAGTCGAGCATCGCATCAACGCTTTCAATATGGTCGTCCGGGTCGGTCGTACCATCATATATCGCCAAGGGCGGGGGTTTTTCCATCCCAATGAGAAAGGGAGTCTCTATGATGGTTCTGGACAACAGTGTATGTTGGTCTTCCTCGTCGCTCTTGACAGATGCTCGAGACGGGGAAAGGTCACCTCGGTCGTTTCTGCCCTGTCGGGGAGGACTCCTTGGTCGGCTCTTTGCCTTCTCGACGTATCTATCAGCTTTATTCCTCTTATGAGTGGGGAAGCGTTGCTCCTTCTGGGGAGGGGATCGGTTGCGCTTCTGGGTGGCCACAGGCTGAGGTCGTTCCAAGCAAGGGCGACCCCCAGGCTTTTAGGGAGAAGGGCTCTGAGAGTCATCGTGTTGTGTCCTCTGCGGGGGAGGGGAGGGACTGCAAGAAACGGGGCGACGGTGACTCTACGGAGGAGAGCGTGGTTGTCGCTCCTTCTCGAGTATCCCTATCCGCTCATTCTGATGGAAAATCATTAGATTTGTCTGATTAGTCGTTGTGAATAGAGCCACTATGGTCAGGTCAGCGTTAGGCGGCACAGGGATTGGCCGGTAGACAGTCGGGCTATCAAAGCGTCGGGAGGCAGTGAAGGTCGCGTAGTCCAATGAGGGAGAAGAGTTGTGCCCGTCCTTGGGGTCTCCCTCTTCGACGTGAACGGTCACGTTGGAGTCGTGACCGTCACCGTTGGTGAACAGAGTGAAGGCGGTTTCTGGTGCATTGTCGTTAATGTGTGGGCTGACTATGATCAACGGAGGTTGTAAACTGCTTTGCTTCTTGGATTTTTATAGAAGAAAGAACGGGGAAGCAAGAGTTCCCACAGACGTCGCCACTAATCTTATCGGATTAGAAATGGGTCAACAGTCAGCGACACGTCGTGAGCTCATTCATTCGCCGGTGATGGAGAAGAGGAGGGGGTGTATCTACAAGGTACTCCGATGGTAAAGTGAGAGAGAGAGAGAGAGAGAGAGAGAGAGAGAGAGAGAGAGAGAGAGAGAGAGAGAGCAAGTACAAAAAAAAAGGTGTAGAATTTAGAATACTTGACCCTCTAGTGAAAAAGGGTATTTATAGTGTGCCCCCAACATTGGGTCAATGGTTACATTGCATTGAGCTGAATTGTCATACTCAACACAAGTAACTTTCAGGTTCTACGTGGCGTAGGAAAGACCAGCATGTGGCCTTCACCCTGATCCAACTGCCTCATGATCCTCAGAAGGTGGAAGTTCGATTCTTTAGGACACAGGTATTGCTTGAGGACGTGTTCCCGCATGGGGAACACGTGGAGAACGTGGGGAGATGTGTGAGGCCTCCCCATGCTAGGTAGTGGTATGCCCGACTACAGAGTGTATTGGGGCGTGCTCGTCGGGATGGAGGATTGGGCCTTGTTGGACCTCCCTAATGTAGTATTGGGTTGAGTCTGCCCGACTGTGGGACAGCTACTGGCCCAGTCCATAACAGAGATTTTTCAGAAATTATCTTAGATCAAAAGTTTGTTATCCAAACTTTGATTAATACAACATCTGCCAAATATCTAATTTAGATTCTCCATTCAGAATAAAGCATAAATTACTATGTTCAAAATTCATTTTTAACTGAATGACTCTTGAAAGAATTATGAGTTGTATCTCAATTTTTAATTCAGTAAAAAACATAATATATACTGATTTCTTCTGAATTAGTAGCAAGAAGACTTTAGAATGTTTAAAAAAAACTCTTTAATTCAACATAACATTGATATTATCACAAACAATAATAATATTCAATTTACCATTCTGAAAATTTTTAAACTAATTTATTTCAAGATATCTGATGAGTGTAGAGATTACACACTCTTGCCATTTTAAGTAACATGTAATCTATTTTTAACATATAACTAATTTTAAGAGACTTAAAATTTTCACATTAACATTTAATGCATTATACTATATTTCACGTGGCATTACAAAATCTAACTATCCTTATAAAAATGAGGCCATGTGACAAAATCATGTTTTAATTTAATGTCACTATAAAAATTGTTTTACAACTGTGCATATCTATTAAATATAGTACTACTTTATTGAATTGAATGAATAAATGTATATAAATTAGGGTTTAATTGTTATATATATATATATATATATATATATATATATATATATATATATATATATATATATATATATATATTCAATAAAAATATATTATTTTGTCATGTCATATAATTAGTTTATTGAATTGAATGAATAAATGTATATAAATTAGGGTTTAATTGTTATATATATATATATATATATATATATATATATATATATATATATATATATATATATATATATATATATATATATATATATTCAATAAAAATATATTATTTTGTCATGTCATATAATTAGTTTAAAATTTTCAATATGACTTGATAGAATACATAGTCGTCATTAATTGACGGCGTAAAAAAATTTACGTTATCAGTGCATAACTCTTTTTTCCTATAAATTATATCTTAAAATAAATTTAAATTTAAAAATTATTTTAGTTATATATCATTATCCAATAGAATTATAATAGTGTAGAATAGTTTTACGCCACTGTCCAATAAAATTATGACATTCAATCATGTCATATCAATATTTTAAAATTAAAAGTATGATTTGGTGGATACACATTTGTCATTGGTTGACAGTGTAAGAATGTTTTATAAAATTATTATATATAATCAGGTAATCATTCTCGTTAAACATTTCTCATTCCTTTGTATTATTTTGGTGGTTAAAATAAAAGTCAAACTTCTTTCAACATTAACGATTAACTACAATGTAAAATCAATCTCTTTCAATTAAATTCTTTAATAAAATGACAGTGAAATTTATGAATATTTGTGATTTTAACATTGCATATAAATTAACTCATTAGAAAAGAAAAAAAAAATACTAACGTTGATACTTTGATATTTCATTCTTTTAAAAAGTTGTACTTTAAAAAGAGAACAAAAAAAAAAAAAACATATCAACCGATGTAACTAACTGCTCCTACAAAATCAACCAACCGAAACAATCCATCCTCACAGACACAATTTCAAACAATAGTTTCTGAAATCCTTTTCCTCTTGTTTTTTGCATGGCAGTGTCACATTCACACTTGAACATTTCAATTCAATGGGAAAAAACAAAAAAGTTGAACAAAACAAATTAATAGTTGTTGAGTTCAAAGTTTCAATGCATTGCAACGCTTGTGAGAGAAACGTTGTAAAAGCCATCTCCAAATGTAAAGGTACTCCATCTCTCATCCCTTTCAATGTTGTCTTTCAATGTGACCCTATAATGTAGTGAAACCATGTTTTTTTAATGTTAATTAGGAGTGGAAAAGTTCATTACTGACATGAACCAACACACGGTGGTGGTAACCGGACGAATCGATCCGAAAAAAGTATTGAAGAAATTAAAAAAGACAACAGGAAAAAAAGTCGAGATTCTGTCAAACAAGGACGAGGAATCAAACAGTGAACCAGACAGATTAGTTATAATACCGCCACTTCCCTTTGAAAATGATTGTTGCATAGAAACAGAAGATTTGAAGATGTTCAGTGATGAAAACCCAAATGCATGTTCAATGATGTAGAAGATTCTACACTATTTGTTGTTGCTATGTATTTATTCTTACATTTGAAATATTGATTGATGGATTGAGACACTTGAGATGCATGTTATGTCTTGTCCTCTTCATGTGCTTAATTAACGTATTTAAACTTTCAACTAATCTTAAATGGCGCAATAAGTGCGCCACTGAAAAATACAGGATCAATTCTTTTACGTAATGTCATGAATCATGATACACTTAAGTGCTTTTTATATATTATCTGTGCAATAAAGTTTAGAGTGAGGGAATCTTCTGCAAAACTTGCAAAATCATATTTAAACACAAAAATTGATATATTTGGAAATGAATTAGTCTTGCTAATTATCATTTACAAAATAGGTTAGTGATGTAAAAAAGTCTAATTACTAGAACATGGAGAAAATGACAAGGGAATAGTGCGAGACAAAATAGGCTTCTTAATTTGACTCTGTCATGATTCATGAACTAACTTCCTATGCAAGTTATCTGTGATTAATTGTCAGTATTAGACTATTTGGCAACCTGCATTATCTACTTAAGTAATTTACATCGTTAATTCTTCATGTTACACAGGATGAATTAATCATATAATGCATGTGTATATTGAGGGGAATGAGATATTTAATCCCTTTGGTATTTTTCTTATGACATGACCTCTAATGCCTCTCTTGTTTGCCCAAGTATGTTGAAAACTGTTGCTGCTATGTGAGAGGGTGTGAGACCAGCCATACACAATTGGTCATTAGGTGATCCGTGGTCGATGTAACGGTCAGGAAGAACCACCGGCCTCCACTGCGTAGTTGTAATGCAAATCAAAACGTATGAGTAACTAGTAACTGTTTTAAGTTGAGATTTGAAAAGAAAGAAAACTTGTTTGCTTTCTTACCTTTAATTTTCCATCTAGAAGGCCGTCAAGTGCCATGAATTGAGCAACATGAGAACCAAATCCTCCAATTGATCCTTCTTCTACTGTGATCAAAACCTCGTGTGATTTTGCCAGGCTACGAATCAAGGATCGATCCAATGGCTTGCAGAAACGGGCATCGGCAACTGTTAAGCGCAGGCCATGACGTTCCACTAAGGAAGCTGCGGCTAAACAGTTCTGAACGGCTGTTCCGTATCCCAAGAGGGCTACTCTTTCACCTTCAATTAGTATCCTACCTTTCCCAATCTGTTAAAATGCCAGAACACGGATATTAAGTCATTTGTACTAAGGTTAAATATATGTTTAGTCCGTTTAAAATAATGACTTTTTTTGTCCCTATAAAAGCAAAATAAGAAGTAAAAATGAACAAAATTTATGTATGCATGAGTATGGGGATATAATCCCAACTTTACCTCAAGAGGAATGCCTTTGTATTCATTTGGGAGTTCAACACCAATGCCATTTCCCCTCGGGTATCGGAAACAACTGGGTCGATCGTCAATGGCTGCTGCAGTGGCAACCATGTGGCAAAGCTCTGCTTCATCAGAAGGAGCCATCACCACCATGTTGGGAAGGCATGCCATAAAAGTGACGTCGAAAGTACCACTATGCGTTGGACCGTCTGAACCAACTAATCCAGCTCTGTCCATTGCAAATCTTACAGGCAGTTTCTGTAAATCCACGTCATGTACCACCTGTGATATAGACATTGGATTCATACTTTGAGCACTGATTTCAATTTTCAAAGTTTATATGGTATAGTGCTATAAACTAATCATATCCTAAAAACTAAAAGTAAAGAACTCGTACTGCGTAATTTTTTTGTAGTTTGGGAGAGAAGTTCTTAGTCTACCTGATCATAGGCCCTTTGCAAGAACGATGAGTAAATTGCACAAAAAGGCTTTAGGCCTTCACAAGCTAGACCTGCGGCAAATGTAACGGCATGCTGTTCCGCTATCCCAACATCAAAGCATCTTGTTGGGAATCGGCGATGGAAGAGATTCATGCCAGTTCCACCTCCCATCGCAGCATGGATTGCGATAATGTCTTTGTCAGCTTTAGCTTCTGCAATCAAAGCCTCCGCAAAATATGTTGTGTAAGATTGCGTAGCAGCCTTGGCTTTGAATTGCTTTCCAGTTGGCGGATCAAACTTGGCAACTCCTACAAAATAAAACCAACTCACATATCTGTGAGGAATATAGCAAGTCAAAGCATATAGGTCACGAAACAAATAGATTTTCATTAGAGATAATTGAATATGCTTCTCAAGGAAAAAAGATGGATAGTAATTGAGAGTATCACATTAAATATCTGAAACCAACGCGTGACCTATTTATTTCGTGAATTATGAACAGGAAAAGATAAGGTCCATTACCATGGTACTTGTCATCCGCTTTCTCTGCGTATGGATATCCACGGCCTTTTTCGGTGACAACATGGATCAATACAGGACCAGTACTATTAGTACTTTTGACTTCTCTGAGAATGGCGACTAAATCATCAATGTTATGACCATCAACAGGGCCAATATAATAGAGTCCAAGCTCTTCAAAAAGTGTTGATCCAGAACCACTGATCATACCACGAGCATATTCGTCAACTTTCGCAGCCAATTCATGCATAGGACCTCCAATTCGTTTTGTTACTCCCTATCAAAATATTATCATTTTGTCAAGAAAAAGCTTCAAGTATACTTTAGTTGCCGCATTTTAGGTAACTCATCGGATGATATTATTACTCACCTTGGCAACCTCTCTCAATTCTCTAAGAGGTTTGTTTGATTGTAACCGACTAAGTGCACTGCTCAAAGCTCCTACAGGTGCTGCCGGTCCATCAAGAGTAGCAGTTGGTAGCGAAACTTGTTTGTTGTCATTCAAAATAACAATCATGTCAGAATCAAGATATCCAGCATTGTTCATAGCTTCATAAGCTTGACCAGCTGTCATAGCACCATCTCCGATAACCGCAACTACATCATTCTTTCTTCCCTTCAGATCTCTCCCAACAGCCATTCCTATTGGTTCAAAATGAATTGCCAAAATCAAATCCAAATCAAAATATCACATGGTTGAACTGAAAAGGAAAATCTCATACCATTTACCAATTCTATTATTCATTCATGTAAATACTATATGTTGCTCAAAAAATCACTGTCTTAAACGATGAAGCATTGACACAAACACATATACAAAACACATAATTGACCCTGACATGCAATGAAGTCAAGCACGAGATCTTAAGTAGAAATGGTCGGCTTGTGAAAGATCGTAAAACTTTGATTGTTAGCACAACACGTAAGATACTACCGAAGGGAAAAATGATAATTTCATATCTATTTATACACACACATACATAAAAACATGAAAATTACAATTCAAGCCCAACACGTTTTTTTTTACGATCTTGCTTCAAAAAGCTCAATCTTGACTACAAGGGCGCCAAAAACAATCTTTCTCTAATCATAGAACTCTTACGATCTTAGAATCCAATACTTGATCTTGAGTACACTGCTGACACGGTGACACCGGTAATTATTTGAAAAACGGAAGTTATTGAATGTAATCGTTTATATTAGTGTGTGGTGCGTATCAGACACAGGACACGCTGAAGTGTCGGTGATGAATAATTATTTAGAGGCAGATAGTAGAGAGAAGAATTACCAAGTCCAGCTGAAATAGTAGTTGAGCTATGACCGGTGCCAAAAGAATCATATTCACTCTCTGATCGTTTTGTAAATCCAGCCAATCCATTAGTCTGTCTAATAGTATGCATCTTATCTCTTCTACCCGTGAGTATTTTATGAGGGTATGACTACAAAATCAAATCACAAAATTTCAATTTAGAACAAGTATCAAACATCGAATCATCCTCAACAACCATAGATAAACACCAACCTGATGACCAACATCCCACAGAATCTTGTCCTGAGGGGTATTAAAGACATAGTGAAGAGCAATAGTGAGTTCAACAACACCTAAACTCGAACCTAAATGACCTCCAGTTCTTGAAACACTGAAAATAACATCAGAACGAAGCTCATCCGCGAGTTGTTTCAGTTCCTGAATCAATCATCAAGGTTATAAAAATTAAGAATAATGACATTATTTTAATTTCTAATTACAATAGAAACAGCATAGTAATAATAATAATAACACCTTGGTTGAGAGATTTTTCATGTGAATTGGATAGTTAATGGTGTCAAGTAATGGAGTTGGGGGTCTCTGTGAGTAATACTCCCCGGTTTCTGAAAGAGAAGCGTGAACTCGAGTTCCAGCATACTTTTTATTGACCTGGTTGAGTTTGTGTTGGGAGGGAGAGAGAGAATGAAGAGGCCGTTGAGATTGAGATAGAGAATGAGAAAGTGTTGTTCTAGGATGAGGAGAAGGTGTGATAAAAGCAGGACATGGGAATGTGCAGAGATCCATAGAAAGAGAAGAAGAAGAAAAATAAATAAATGGAATAGAGTGTGAAATGTATGGAAGAGGAAGAAGGGAATAAATTAATGAATTATGTAACAACCTTTGTTTTGTTGGTGGGAATGGGAATAGATGGGATGAATATAAATTGGAAAATGCTAATAAGTCTAATTAAGTTACTACTAAAGTATAAATGTAACATTTTCATCATCAGCCAAAAATAAAAAAATATTTGTTATAACATACATTTACATAAAAGTGAGGTAAGTTAATTGGTATTGATAGTTTAACAGTGGATAGATTAAATTTTGAATAGTTATAACTTTTTATACGTGAAAGGGGGAAATTATAATGAATGAACAAGGGAGTTAATTTATTATTATTAATTAAAAGGGAGATGTGGGTGATTGAGAGCGGAGTGGAGAATTGAAATTATGGGACGGGATTTGGACCAGCATTACAATTCTAGGGGTGGCCACTCATCATTCACTACATTGGGCCACGTCACCAGAAATCTCAGGTGGATAGATTTTTAGATAAAATTAAAATTTAATTAACAATATCAACTTTTTAGCTTTAAATTTACATTGTGTTTTGTCCATTAGAAATAAGAAAGAGAGAGATGAGAGGGAAACTAGGAAGAGATTAATAAGTTTTGTTTT